TACAGATGAGCAAAAGGATCTTCGGAGAATTGAAGTTTTCTAGGCAGGATGTGACACAAGGCCGATTTTTATGTGAGGGCGATCCGAGCTCGTGGGCTTGGGCAAAAATTCTCCGTAGACACCCCCCCCCCGCATACATGGGGGTCAGGTTTGTCTACCTCCCCAGATGAGACTCTGCCCTTCGACAGAGCCTCTTCTGGGTTCCTCTGTCTTCGGGCAGAGAGTTCGACAAGTCTTGATGCATGATGGGAAGATTTAATCTAATCTCTCACGAGAAAAGACAGTGTCACGCCTACCCCGCACACAGAGTGTGAATCCGTGAATAAACAGCCGAATATGTTGGAAAGAGGATTGTTTTCAATTCTCACTGTGGTGTTATTTCACTTTTCGTCCGCTTGTGAGCGTACATTGGACCTTTCCCAGTTTTTGTGCACACCGGCGCAAACTAGAATCGAAATTCAGCATGGTGATTTTATCCAATCGGTGAAAGAGCCTTTGAGGGTTTCAGTGTATGTTGACAGTATCATATTTATATACGTCTAAGGTTTTGGTCTTTCTGTAAACTGGTTCTTCACGGAGCGAGTAGGAGTGGCACAGATCCTGTAAAACGTGATACGTGCATTTTTAACCTGAATATAAATTTGCAAACTTTTAGATGTGGGCCTTGATAATAGGCTTTGAAATGTTACTAATGGAAATAGGATAACGTGGAATGGTTTTGTCTAAAATAGAATTGATAGATTTAGGCCAACCTGCAGATGTCGAAAAAAAAACAAAAAAAGTGAATAAAACATACGAACATATTGCAAATACTGTCAAATGCATCATCTGACATTTTTCTTGTGTGAAATGATACCTACTAACCTTTTTACGAGCTGCCCAATTCATTACTTTGTACTCATTAGTGAAAGATTAATTAACACAGCTAATAGCTTAGACTCAGTTAATATGCACCAATTGAGCGGTTCTGATTTCATTCAATGTGTACGTTTTCAAGGGAAAATTATTCTGATGTTATATATTTATTTTTTTTTTTTTTTTTTTAGGGAAGAAAGTCTTTTCAAAAGAAACCTTATTAATAAAATTTTATTGCTAGTTGCATTTGCTTATACAAATCCCACTATTTTAATATATGGAAAATGAAGACTTGTTCGCATTAACGTTAAGATTTTTCCAAAAACTAAAACAATTTCAGATATGCATGTACCTTCAACTGTCCCATTCAATTTAGCGACTGAGGTTTGTTTGGCTACCATTTTGTATTACAAGTCAGTTGTTCTGTCGAGTTGTCTGTGGTATCACAAAGCCGGGTACAAAGCAACTGAGTTTTTTTTCCATAGAATTTATGTGAGGAAAAGCTAATTGTTGAATGGTTGATGCGCAGTTCCTTGAAAATAGCTTTCGTTAAAGAAAAACAACTTTGGCACATGGTAACAATTGTAGGGCATTCACTGAGGAATGCACTACAGGGGTCCTCGACTTGCGACAGAATTCGGTTTCTACGAGGCGTCGTAACGCGATTTTTCCGTGAATAAGCACTTGCATCACTCACCTATGCTAACGCAATAGTAATAATCTAGGGCATAACACATTTCTATGACTTATCTTAACATAATTCAGGCTCTCTCACTACACCACCCTCTCTCTCACTACACCACCCTCTCTCTCTCTGTACATATCTCTCTCTCTCTCTCTGTACATATCTCTCTCTCTCTCTCTGTACATATCTCTCTCTCTCTGTATATCTCTCTCTCTCTCTCTGTACATATCTCTCTCTCTCTCTCTGTACATATCTCTCTCTCTCTGTACATATCTCTCTCTCTCTCTCTGTACATATCTCTCTCTCTCTCTCTCTGTACATATCTCTCTCTATCTCTCTCTCTCTGTACATATCTCTCTCTCTCTCTCTCTCTCTGTACATATCTCTCTCTATCTCTCTCTCTCTGTACATATCTCTCTCTATCTCTCTCCTTAATGTTTTGCTTTTCTGGTTACTTCAATGTCTTATTTCTGCGGCTGCTATTAATAATAATAATTATAATTATTAAAAAAAAAAAAAAACGCTTTATTTAAATGACAATAAATCTCGCTCGTTTCCTTTTCAAGCGAAAACTATTTTTTACCAAAATGGTAGTTAGTCAAATGGTGACCAAACAAGTACAGAAAATGAAATATCCGAGAAGTGTTTTAACAGACGACGGAAAATGTGACTTACAAATCCGAAGGTACATGGAATATCGGAAGATACTTTCATAAACCAAGTAATAGGAAACTGGGAAAAAATTCCTTACTATTTCAGCACATTTGTTCTATCTAATATCAATCCTCCTATATGGCGGTGAATGCTGGACAATCTTCCTTACAGATGAAGAGGAGATTGGATGCAACAGATGTTCTTCCGAATCATGCTGAGAATACCATGAACAAAGAATGTGATCAAGGAGAAAATTGTAAGCAAAATGGAAACCAAAAAGACCATTATACAGGGTGTAGCAGAAATACCTCCCACTTAAAATTAGAAAGAGTCAATTGAAATTTTCGTAGGTACATTAGGAGGAAAGAGGGCTTGTAGAATTTTGCACACAGAACATTGAAAACAAGAGTGAGATAGAAACGCCGAATCGCTTACCTAACGAGCTTTTGTAAATAAACGACAGAACTGAGAGGGGTTGTAAGACGAGTATTGTTTAGAGCTGCAAAAAATAGGAAGTCGTAGAGAACCATGATCGCCCACGTCCTGAAGAGACAACGTATGTAAAAGAACTTGCAGAATCTGTAATATGAGCAGAAATGAGAATTTGTATCTTGCTTACAATTTCGCTGAGATTTGCTTTTTATCACTTAACTAGCTACTTTAAAATGTAACTTTTGTTCTGAGTGGTTTTATGAATGAACTCAAGAATTTTGATTGTTGGAAAAAAATCTTTTAAAAGAAACAGATTTGAATGATCTTTATTAAACTTTTATTGTTCCGTGTATTATTTCCCGTTTAAAAAAAAAAAATCCCTAAATCTTTCTACACAAATCTTATCAAATTAAATCGATAAAGGATTTAAGAACTCGCTTAAAATGAAAGAACGTCTTTGAAAAAGTACCCTCTTTTCTTTGCTTTGAAATTCAATGTCCTCTTCTCTGTTAAATCTACTTAGTTTTTAATTCTATTTGTGTGTTTGTTTGTGTGTGTGAAATCGCCGTTTCCTCATCTGCATGCGTGTGCATGCACGTGCGTGATAATCTGTACTGCGGTATTGTAACTATTTCATGAATTATTCAGACAAGCATCCTGTTCTATTTGATTAGGCTCTGTTGATGTGTTCTTGAGTCTTCCCCAAGTTGATCGAGGCATCTTTGAAATAGACCTGAAGGGAGACCAAACAGCTCTCCACTTGGTCAACTCTAAATTCTGATCAAAATCAGATTTAAAATTTGATTTTTAAGGTCTTCTTAGTCAGGCAAAGAAGTGTATCAACGACACCCTACACGCATGGGCACGAACAACCTCTCATCTTATATTATATATATATATATATATATATAATATCGAGAAGTATAAGCTGTCAATTGACGAGTGATCGGACAAGTCCGTCTACGAATCTCTGGATGCTGAAGGTAACCTCAATCGGCAAGTGACAAACATTTGCTTATATATATATATATATATATATATATATATAATACACTAGTTAATTTTCATTTAATGAATCCAAGTACAATTTTGTAATTTAAAATAGTTCGTTGTTAACGCTAATAACTGAACGGTGTACAATTTATGAACACCTCAGGAAAGATATCCATATTTTATCCTCATTGTGTACGCGCGGTTTTGTAACACACCTTGGGTGTTCTTGAGAGTCTAATTTGCTGAGAAATTAGAACATCACCGCTAGTGATAGTCGATCCCACAATCCAAGACACCTCAAAGAAAACAACTTTATGTGAAGTTTAATTCAAGCTGAAATATCAACATCGGCCGATATATTTATCCTCTCTCCCCCTCTCTCTCCCTCTCTCTTTCTCTCTCTCCCCTCTCTCTTTCTCTCTCTCTCTTCTCTCTCTCTTTCTCTTTCTCTCTTTCTCTCTCTCTCTCTTTTCTCTTCTCTCTCTCTTTCTCTCTTTCTCTCTCTCTCTTTTCTCTTTCTCTCTCTTTCTCTTTCTCTTTCTCTTTCTCTCTCTCTTTCTCTCTTTCTCTCTCTTTCTCTTTTTCTCTCTCTTTCTCTTTCTCTCTTTCTCTTTCTTTCTCTCTTTCTCTTTCTCTCTTCTCTCTTTTCTTCTCTTTTCTTTCTCTCTCTTCTCTCTTTCTCTCTCTTTTCTCTTTCTCTCTTTCTCTTTCTCTCTCTTTCTCTTTCTCTCTCTTTCTCTCTCTCTTTCTCTTTCTCTTTCTCTCCAGTTCGCAGAGATAGGGGGGAAAGGGTATTGCTTTGCAGTTTGCCAACGCGGTAGTTTTTTTGCATGTAGACATGGAGCTATGACTTCAAAATTTTCCACACTGTCCCTCAATTGTCTCTCACTCACTCACTCATTTACTCACTCACTCACTCACACACACACACGTGTGTGTAGCGTATTATGTTTAAGCATTGGCCAACCACTCGTTTTTACACCCCGTATGCTAGGGCGTCAAACTAATTCTTGTTGCCGACGCCTGCTCAGGTACACTTGTTTGTTCAACACCCACAGAGCCCGCCTCTAGTTTATACTGCAACTATGCTGAGCGAATCTTTGTTATTTTCTGGGAGAGAGCGCATCATCTGGCATGCTCATCAGTTTAAACAACGCCACTACGCTCAAAATCTCGGTGACGACGACTTGTGACTTCATCCTAGCACAAACCATCGACGGCAGTTCCGTCTACTCAGTTTCTCTCGCAAGGCTTGAGTCAATCCGTGGTATCGTTTTCAGGCAATTCCGAAAGGTACCACATGCTGGGATCGCCTCCCCCCGCCCCACAGACTGAAAACATCAAGGAAGCCACCTTCCCGACAAAACGAAAGCTTACAGCTATATGACGTTGAAGCACCGAACCTCGTACGATCACAGAAGTTAAGCAACGTCGAGTTTGGTCAGTACTTAAATGGGTGGCCGCATGGGAATACCAGGTTCTGTAAGCTTGGATATATGGGTAGCATAATGGATAACAGCTCGGAGAGCCGAGTTCCAATTCCAGTTGTGTTCGTTATTATTCACTTCTATAGCCTTGGGAAAGGCATGTATCCACCTATTCTCCCTCAACTATGGGCTAATTAGTAGTACTTGTATGAGTAAATATTTATCTCCCCAAAATTCTTAAAATCTAAAATTATTTTTTACACTTGCAAAAGGTTGATAAATAAATATGTCAATCGTTACAAATTTAAGTATGGGATTTCGAGTCTGGGACTTATGGTCGGAAATATCTCTCTCATACACACACACATATATATATATATATATATATATATATATATATATATATATATATATATACACACACACACACACACACACACTAAAATAACTGCTATGAAATATCCGGACAAATTGTGGAATATGTGAAAACCATTTGGATGTACATCTGAACAACTAAAAAAGGATAAGGAAAGCTGTTACCATAGTAACCTTGTTACTAATAAACACTGTTGTTAATTTGACTTTTTTTCCAATAACAGTTAACATTCAAAATCTATAATTAATATCTGAACAATCAATTAATCAACTTGTACATAAAAACATCTTTTAAAAAATGTACAAATACCACACGGTGGAATAATGGATAGCGGCTCGGACTGAGGAATCGGAGAGCCGAGTTCGAATTCCAGTCGAATCCATTATATTCACTTACGTGCTAATACCCTTGGGAAACTTATGAATCCTCTCCTCCTCCCAGGTAAATAGCAGGATAGAACGATTATCGCCTAAGCGTGTATCATGCATAACTTGACTGACTTTAATATAGGGAAAAATACATTTTAAAGTTATGGGAAGGAAAATCGTATATATCTAGAATACAGGTGAAGTCGTTCAAAGTAGGCTTTATTCTATTATGTAGGCTTTATTCTATTATGTAGGCATTAAGAAAAATATAGAATTAAAATAAAATGTATAATTTTTATTAAGGGGCTTAATCTGTGCGTGAGCTGTTAAGTTCTGCTCACGAGTCCTGTAACCCATCAGGTTCGTAGGGACACCTCATGTACTACAGCCGTAGAAGTGTGTCTTTGACAAATTAACATGACCAGGCTCAATTCAGTTTTCCTTCTCCTGGACCGAATGCTAGACAACGCTATAGGACCCAGCCTGTCCTTCTATTTACTTATAAAAGGCGTAAGAGATTGGTTGCTACTTTTCCTAAGGATATTTGTATGAAAGTCTCGACTGAAATTCGAACTCAGATTCTCATTCCAATCCGCTATCGATTACATCACCGCGAATCCTACATGTCCTGAGTCTAAAACCGCCATTTGATTCTTGTCTATTTTGCTTCTGTTTTTTTTTTTTTTTTTTTTTTATGAATTAAACGTGACAACAATCAGTCAATCAACATTTACGAATTTCTTTTAAATCTGATTAATTTAACTTAAATTTTCTAATTTTACTAAAATAACGTGTCAAATTTTTAAAAATATTTTTAAAATCAATAATTTTTTTTTGTTTACAAATTTCTTAAAATTAAGAAAATGGCCGTTTTTAAGAAAATTTAAGAAATCAAAATTAAATTTGACATTTCAATGTATATAATTTCTATCTGAAATACACCAGAATTGTTTACTTAATGGAAATAATAAATTTGATTATTAAACTTTCAATTAAAGCTAAAATGAAATCTTCAAGAATGTCTCTTTTTTTTTTTTTTCTCATTTAAAAAATTCATTTTAAACTTGGATATCGAAAATTTATGCTAAAAAAGTAGTGGTACCTGGGGGGAAAAAATAACTTACCATCAAGAAAAAAATTTGTCTATTTTGCTTCTGTGTTTTGTTTTTTTTTTTTTTACAGTCTTACATTTTAATGAATTAAACAAACGTGACAACAAATCAGTTAATCAACATTTACGAATAACTGTAAAAAATAACTTTCTCTCATCTTACCATCAAGAAAAAAAAGTGTCAAAAATGTTTTTGTAACCTTATATATACCCGCCTGTTGCTTAAATGTAAACTTCTCCTTCGAAAGGAAATTTAAATGCTTTTATGTACAACCCAGAATAAACCGTCAATAATTTACTCGGAGTGTTAGAGTAAGGAAATATCGTATTTTTCGTTTTGCGGTCATGCTCCCATCAGAAACTGAAGTAATTAGATTTGAATGGTCCCTCAGCAGCACAATGTAGTTGTGTGTGTTTACTTGGTTTAAAATATTTGTAAGATTTTATTTTATTTTTTTTTTTTTTTTTTTTGAAGAGTTTCAGAGAACATTTCAGCACACTTTTGTATCTGTTTCTCTCTATCAATCAATTTCTCTCTCAGATATATATATATATATATATATATATATATATATATATATATATATATATATATAGTTGGATAGATGCGAGTTTGTGACCCTGGGTTTCACGCTTAAGTGATCGTCAAACAAACTCTCTCTCTCTCACACACACATATATATATATATATATATATATATATATATATATATATAATTTTTTTCTCTCACACACCTTGAAGGGTGATGCCAATTTTAACCGGATGTACATAGGATGTTAATTTCTTGAGTCGTTGCTTCACACGTGTCTGAGCTTTAGACTGTCACTGCGCGAAGTTTGTGTTGAAAAAATTCAGTGTCATCAGGTGTTTGAGCACAGGCGTACCTTTTTGTTAGATCCGTTAGGGTTAGAGGAGCCTTTGATAATAATGACGCTTCGGTGGTGCTTTGATTTCGGCAAAAGCAGTTTTATTGAATATTCATACACCCGTAAGCGATCATGTAGAGATGATTGCCAGGAAAAAGTAATAACGACGGGGCATTCACAGCACAGATCGATAAATGTTTTCAAAATATTGTCATAGACCACTAAGAACCGATTGCTTATAGTGTGAGGATATGGTTTAACCTATAGCTGGGTTAGGAGAGAAGGGATGAATTCAAGCCATTCTCAAGGGCATTAGTGCAAAGTAAATGCAACAAACTGGACATTTTGTGCGTATGTCTGTAAGGCGTTTCGTGTAGCGCATGGGTACTTCATTCTGATCCGAGGCAGAAGTCTTTCGTTACGTAATTTTTTTTTTCTTTTGTTTCTTTCTTTCTCTCTCTCTCTCTCTCTCTCTCCTTCCCCCTCTCTCTCCTTCCCCCCTCTCTCTCCTTCCCCCCTCTCTCTCCTTCCCCCCCCTCTCTCCTTCCCCCCTCTCTCCTTCCCCCCTCTCTCTCCTTCCCCCCCTCTCTCCCTTCCCCCCCTCTCTCTCCTTCCCCCTCTCTCTCCTTCCCCCCTCTCTCTCCTTCCCCCCTCTCTCTCCTTCCCCCCCCTCTCTCTCCTTCCCCCCCTCTCTCTCCTTCCCCCTCTCTCTCCTTCCCCCCTCTCTCTCCCCCCCCCTCTCTCCTTCCCCCCCTCTCTCCTTTCCCCCCTCTCTCTCTTCCCCCCCTCTCTCTTCATATATATATATATATATATATATAAATCTATTTCTCCCCTCTTCTATAGTAGCTAACAGAATGGGGGTAATATATCATCCAATGTGACGATAAAAGATTGATGCCCTAAAATTTTTGGTGTCCCTCTTTCTTTATTCGTTAGATTTTTTTTTTATCTTTGCTTATTTTGTCCGATAATCCTTTTTTCTTTTTTTAAATCGATAAAAAAAAAAGAATTTAATCTCTGAAAAGCTTTTTGTCAGGTTGCTATGTGTAATTTAAAAACGAATCTATATCCCTTTTCCAATTCGTTTTCATTACCGTCGGCATTTAATTCTCCATTCCCAACAAGTAATTATTTCTCTTTTAATATTCTTTGATATGAAACCCAAGTTACCCCCCACCCACCCTTTGCTCTGCTCTGATAACTGTGACAGTGACAAAAAAGGGGACCTTTTTGCTTCTTCGTAAGAGTAGGTTGAGACTAGTCCCCCTCAATAAATGCTGCGAGCGCTGATTCAATAAGCAGCGAACAAGATGTTTGTATTTAACTGGCAACACAGTCCTTGCCATGTGGACCCCAAATGTGTCAACTGTTCTGCTGTAAAAATTCTCTAATTGCTACTATCAGAAACGTGTAATCCATTCTTGATAATTTTTTTTTTTTTCATTACTTTCCTTTCTCTTCCGTTGTATATTGTGAATGTTTTCTTCTTTAATGGAGATGGCTGGGTATGGAATGATGGCCTACTTTTGAATGCTAATCTCAACAAGAAATAATGTCACTCTTGCCATTCTTGGATTTTTAGGTTGCATTGGATGGAGAGTCGTATTTTTTGGCTGTTCTTGCTACATTTTGATGCTTTTCTTTTTCCTTTATTATTTTTATTTTTATTTTTACCAGAGATTCAAATTATTAAAAAAATAATTCTGCCCAACCTCCACTTTAAAACGGAAATTATGTTGGTTTTAATACATAAATAATAAATATTTTCAGTCATTAATTTCAACTTTTCTTCTTGTGTGTGTGTAATAAATAAATATATATATATATATAACGGGTGTAACAGCAAAATTCTCCAAATCGTTTAACAGCATGAGATAATTGTCCATCCCACAAAATGTTTAATATCTTAAAAGAAAAAAAAAAAAAAGACTAAATTGAGTTTTTTCCCAGTGTTTTTCTGATGCGACGTTTAGCTATCTTCACACCATTTGTCGTAAGAATCGCTGAAAAACCCATTGAGTTATTCATCTAGAAAGAGAATTGGTTAAAATCGTTTTGTGTCTGCCCCACGATGTCTTCCCAACTGAGCAATGGTAAGAGGAAAAGATCATTCAGAACTTCAATAATGGTACCAACATTCATACTCTGACTTCCATCTTCAAAGTTTTTTCAAGGAAGATCAAGAGAACGGTGAATAAGTTTTTAAAAAAGATGGAACAGGGAGAAAAACTGGATCAGGTCACAACAGGAAAAGGGATCGTCATTTCAACTTAGAGCTAAATACGTTCTTATTGTTGAAAGTAGAGTCCAATAGTGTTATAAAAAACTTCCAATA